AAAAAGCTAAGCAGATAAAAAATTTTAATTTTAGTGACTTTATAAAATTTGTTTTCTCTTGTTTGTCAATTGTACTCTGTCTTTAGCTTGTTACATATAAAGATGTATAAGAGCATTTCTGAAATTGGATCTTAAACTGATTACGAGCACCTCATTTTTATTTCCTTCTCATTGGTCTTTCTTTTTTTATTAGATTTACAATGAAAACAAAAATCCATAATGTCTCAACTATTTAAAGTCTGCTAAATGAATCTTTTGCCACCATTGAGTTATGTTTTTTTTATTAGCTTTAATGAACACAAACGTACCAATATATATGTTTCTTGAAGTTAGTTTCAATGGGTTGTAGGCATGATCATTTTTACGCTTACCGAAAATATAATATATATTTGACAATTTGTATTATACAGATGAAAAGAATTTATACATACTTGTCCTTGTAACATCATTTCTGGTTGAGTCTACTTGTTAACTTATGCGTTTCTGAAATGCTTTCAACTTTTCTGAACAATTTCAGATCTTTGCAACACCAGAAGTTCATATAGGTTTCCATCCTGATGCTGGTGCTTCCTTCTATTTATCACGTCTAACTGGTTATATAGGTACAACTTTTTTACAAAGTTGCACTTGTGGTGCATGACCAACTTTTAATTTGTCTTAATTTGCTCAATGTGGAAATATTTAGTACTTGACAGTTGACACAATTTATTGTTTTCTGTTCATATCCTTTGCTGCTAGTAGTTCTATGTGCAAATGTCTTGTTTGTAGAAGAGTTTAGTTTCAACTTTCAAGCTACTAAGCTCATAAGCATGAGTTTCTAGGTTCACATGGGTTTTTTCTTATGTAACAGAAGAATCTTGATGAATTTTATTGGGTTTGAATGACAAAAGTATGCATTTTTAGTTTTGTTTATGTTTGTTTTTCACTCCATTACATTCTTTTGTCTCTATTTTGGCTAATTATCTTCACATGGGTTTTTTTCACATTCTTTTGTTATTTGTTATCATTGTATAGCTGATTCTAGTTATCTGATATGATTTTATTTAGCAGCTATGTTGACAAACTCTTTTCACACAGTTCTTGTTATGATCTTTCTGTAGGGGAATACTTGGCCCTAACTGGCGAGAGGCTCAATGGTGTAGATATGCTTGCAGTTGGCCTTGCTACACATTTTTCACTGAGAGCAGTTGTTCCTTTACTCAATTTTCGAAAGTTATGTACTCATTCCCTTTGGTTTTCTTACAATATATTTTCTTTTTTGTTTGTAGAGGCTTGATTGGATTGATGAACGACTTGCTAAGTTGATCACAGATGATCCTTCAGTCATTGATTCTACACTAGCACAATATGGCGATCTTGTCTATCCAGATAAGACTAGCATCGTCCACAGGTGTTCTCATGCTTGAAATTCTTCACAAGTCCTTTTAATATGTAGATAAATAATACTCTGTTAATGATGCTCTGTGATTATGTAGATTAATAGTTGCTAATCATAAGTTTCTTTCATAAACACATAATCTGGGAGTACATGATACATTACATAGCTGCAATGATGTAGTTGTGAGTGATTCACAACGTACATACATAAAATAAAGATATTTATAATATATGGACCTTTACATTTTTCCTTGAGTAGGCTTTATTTATAATTTCTAGTTTTTCTATATTAGTCATTCTTATTTATACAAAATAATGAACATAAATAGTTACTCTGATCATCCATACTCAGTCCATTTGCAAATTATCTGTATCTACAATATTAAAGCTAATATCACTGTACCTTATTTGAACTTGTTTTTCTTTGTTTCCCTTGTTCAGGCTGGAGGTGATAGATAAATGCTTTGGCCATGAAACAGTTGAGGAAATTTTGGATGCTTTGGTAAGCTTCCCCTTTTTCCAATGATCTGTGCAAATTTTTATCTGATCAATTTGTACATGTGGTGGGCATCCTGCTTATGTTAGCATGATCCAGTTTATATATGAAAACTGATGGGGGATAACATGATCTTAGGTCTTAAGTACAACTTTGTTAAACTGATATGACATGTAATTCACCATTCACCTTTTAGGAGAATGCAATCTCGTCCCTGCCCTGTTCTGATATTTTTAAAGTTTCAAACTGTAATCTTATAATTCCTTCAAGGCATTGCTAAATTCCTGTATCTATTAGGATATTTTAATCAACGTAACTTTTACATGAAGTGGAACTATCTTAATATTTTCTAGATCATTTTATACATTTAGAGGAGATATAAAACCTTACTTAAAGTTGCAATTTGAAGCAACTTGTCATGTAGACCTGCTACATCCAACTGAATTTCATGTTAACCTTATTTATTTGAGCAGACAATAGTGAATGATTCTGTTCCATTAATTTTGTTGAGCATGGAAGTTTCTTTTCTTGGGTGTTTACAGAACAGTCAATTAGTACAACTATCTATTTCTTATCTGACTCAACGATAGTGTAGCAGACAAATTATTCTTATGCTATTAAACATTCGGACAGTTCGACCATGCTGTACATAATCACTTTCACGGATCTAGTACATTTAGACTATTCTCATAAAGGTGAAACATTATCAAGCAACTCAGACTGTCGATTGGGCTGAACTTTGTGGAGATCAAATGTGACAGCCTTCTTGTTGTTCGCATCAGAGGAATAATATTTGCACTTTTTTAATCTTCTCATGCCATATTTCCTGTTTAATGTTCTTTATCATACACAGGAAGTTGAGGTAGCTAGATCAAATCAAGATTGGTGTGCTTCTGCTTTGAAAAAATTAAAAGAAGCTTCTCCATTGAGTTTAAAGGTTTCCCTGCGATCTGTAAGTTGCTAGAACCTCACTGAATGCTGCTTCCTCTGTAATTAATTATTTACCAATGCTTCCTCTGACAACTTGATAGATACGCGAAGGTAGATTTCAGACTCTCGATGAATGCCTTGTTCGGGAGTATCGAATGTCACTTCACGGGATCTCAAAGCCGGTTTCTCATGACTTCTGCGAGGTACTGGAATCATTGATCTGCTAGAAGGATAAGTTTGTTCCTAGGGTTTCCTAACCTACCTCTGTTTTGTACAGGGTGTTCGAGCACGGTTAGTTGAGAAGGATTTGGCTCCTAAGGTACTTCCAGTGATGCTTCAGATGGTTCAAATTTTCATTTGTTGTTTTCTGAAGAGTATCCATCTATGAATAATGCAGTGGGATCCTCCAACATTAGAGAAAGTATCCAAAGACATGGTTGATTATTACTTCTCACCACTTGGTGAATTCGAGCCCGAACTAAAGCTACCCACACACCTGCGTGAAGCTTTTATTTGATTCAGGATCGTCTTAAGCCTGCAGGATGCCGGTCAGCAGCTCATAGCATATGTAATCTCATGTTAAATGTGGGTGAAAAATTGTTGTATCATCTCCATAGTGGGTGGCATCACATTCTAAAACTGCAGCCTTGCCTTCTTTTTTCGTATGAGTTTAACTTTACGACTAGGCATTTGAGAACAAGAATGTGGGTTGAGAGATGGAAATATCTGATCAAAACTTGGTTGGTATTCTTCCAAAGTATTAACAGATATAAATTTGAGGGAGTGAAATCAACCAAAGGCAGATTTAGTGTACTCAGGTTGTGATATGAAAACCAGTGCTAAACTATGTTTTGCCTCAATAATGGTCTCTTTTTCTCTTATTTGCTGCCGAGAATTATAACAACAATGAGATTGATGCTGAACTGGTCAGAAAACATGATGAACACTGCAGTGTAATGATTTCTCAAGGGCAAAGGACTGTTGTGTTTTAGATTTTGGACTGGAGACATGATTATACTGATTTAAATGCTTCTTGTTGTGGACAAACTGCAACAGTAGATATATCTAGCCATATCTTTTTATGGTGTTGTTATCTGTTATGTGATGAAGGATACCCAAACACGGCATTGTCTTTTATGGTGTTATCTGTTATGTGAGGGAAGGATACACAAAACACAGCATTGTTGAGGAAACAGGCAGTACAAGTGATAGAGGAAATCCAATTCAAATATTGCATTCATGTTGAAGACGATAAGCACCAGCTCACATCAGATGGGAGTTTACATCAAATCTACAGGGAATATTTTGGCCACTCAAGTACCCTCACCTGCATATGAAAAGACTGAGCAGTCTAGGTATCCTGCAGCAATTAAATGGGTCATCAGTTGTTGCAGCAGTGAAGGGTTTGGGTGCTTGATAGCAAACAAGTGGGTTGGTGTGGCCAAATGCTCACCCAATAAATACCATAAATATAAATGAACTGGTAATTATTTATGGGTTCCAAGGACTAGAAATAAAGAGAAGGAAGAATAGCTCAGGGGTGGTGGTGGTGGTGGTTGTTCATTGGATGAATCCAATGGAGATCAGATGCTTCCTAAGTTTTGTTTTCTCATGTGACCACTGTTTGACTTCTTAATTGGTTGCCAGAAGGCCCTGCCGATGATGCATCGAAAGCTATGACCTCATGTTCTTTGATTAGCTACAACAAAAATGAAGTCAAAGCGAACATCTTTCTTTGGATCTTGCTTTCCAGTATCAGTAGTATGCTTTTCAAGTGTTTTACAAACATCTATTCTGTTTGTTTCAATCCAGTAACTTCATATTCTCTATATGACGACTCTTTGTAAACAAGAAGAGCATTATAGGTTTTGATCTGATATAAATCTGATACTTGGAATAACTACTAGGTTTATTGCATTCAAATTTGAGGCCATTGTTACGAGTTCTTCTTCAAGATGGAGATGCATAATGTAGTCATACATGATATGAATACAAAGAACATGCATGGATTCCTTCCTTCTTGGGGACTCTGGCTTTCCATGGCAAGACAAAAACACTACTTCTACCATTTGCACATACGACTTCAAATGCTCTAAATCACATCAAACAAATCCAACAAATAGACGACAAGTTGCTTACATCAAAGACAAGAATGACGGTCACACCAGCACATACAAGGAACAAGAAGACAGAAAGCAACCCATGAAAAGTGATTCTATACCTTCAGATAGAAAAAGGAGAAGCTTTTACACCAAGAAAAACACACTGTTCACCACCGAGTCAGTAGCCCGAGTTGAGAGAATCGCCACAAGAATAGAAGAGAGAACAAGAGGACGAAAATGATTACTACGGATTTGAGTTTAGAGCTTGTAGATGATCAGGAAGCAAGGAAGCACCGCCCTGAGATCAAATACCACAAGCTCCCCGTTCTCCAGGGTCACCGACTCGGCCTCCGATTCGGTGTCGAACTCGGCTTTGACCCGGCCAGCGATGACGCGGCACACCAGCATCGCCCTCCGCCCGGTCCCGCCGCCCCCGCTCGCGTGCGCTCCGCCGCTCCCCGCGAAGGTCCGGACACCCTCCACCTTCCCCCCCGCCGACCACACGGCGCTGCACGCCACCCCGGCATCGTAGACGACACCCCCGCCGACGCCGCAGTGGAACCGCATCATCTCGTTGCCGTCGGCGGCGCATCGCGCGTCGTCAGACCGGGCACGGACCGCCGCGCGGTGCTCCTCGAACCGGGCCACCGTCCGCGCCGGGTTGTGGACCCGGAACAGCATCTCGATCTCGCCCGGGAACGCCGCGGCGGGCCTGCCGCCGGAGGAGGACCAGCTCGAGCTGAAGATGATCTCCACCACCCGCCGCGACGAGTGGCCGGTGGGAAGCTCCGCCAGCGTCGGGAATGGGTCCGCGTGGGCCGGCCCCACGAGTCCCGCCGCCGGCGAGGCGGGCGGACGGGCGGACGTCGGTTTAGGCTTGGACTTGGGCCTCGCCTTAGGCCGGGGTTTCTTCGGAAGCGAGGACGAGGACGAAGCCGACGAGGACAGGTACTTTGGAAAGAGGAAGACGTCCTTAATGGCGTGAGAGGTGTTGCTGCAGGAGACGGAGGAGAGCAACGGCTTCCTAGCAGAAGACGAAGACGACGGCGTCCGGTTGTATACGACGTCGTCCACAGCATTAGACTTGCAGTGCAGCGACTTAACCCACCCGGCCGCCATTTGGCGACGACGATGACGGCTGTGTCGGCCAAGAACAAGATCACCTAAGCTCACAGAGAGAGAGAGAGAGAGAGAGAGAGAGAGAGAGGTGATCTTATGTGGTGTTGCGGAAGCGAGAGGGAGGAGGAGGTGGTGGTGGTGATCGCTTTGGAATAGACTGCTTGGTTGGTGGCTTTTGGCCAGTGGGTTCTGTTCAAGTTGTAGTGCAATCTTGGTTTGGATTCATAGTAGTTGAGTTGGATTCTGTCATGAGAAGCTTTGGGTGGAGTGCTCTCCTTCTACTCCTTTGTATTGCACGCAGCCTTATCCTCGCTCTGTGCTTCCATGGATCGAACACTAACAATTCTTTTCAATTAGTGTCGTCTTATTGTACTTGTTTGGTGCAAAGTAGATCTTTCATTGTTGATGGACCCAACTCCAACTTGTAACATCATCCTTCCTTCATCTTGGATTACTTGGAAGACTTCCACCAAACAATGGAAGAAGACATGAAATCTCAACCAGTGTTTGTGCATCTAACCCTGCTATTGTTAGTTACCATGTCAACATTAAGGAGATGACCCACCCTCACATATGATCTGAGCATCCATACAAAAATGCCATGTTCCAATCTCATCTCCTTTCAAACTAACATTTCATGAAACAAGGTAGAACTCATGTGGGAATCATAAGCAAGATATAATAATCAAGTCTTTTCAAGATAAATTCTTCAAACAACATCATAATCTAATCTTTAGGTCATTTCCAAGATGTGCTATCAACCCACACCAATCAATAATTGGCCATGATGTTTATAATGTGATGTGCCTTCTGTGAGCAGATGAATTATATAGTTTAGAGTCAGCACATGATATGAACAAGGAGGCTTGGAGAATTTTCTTTGGGATTCAATAAGATATGGAATGGCATTCCTTTGAAGTCATTCCCTTTTGTTTTCTATCATCTCCAGGTTGTGTATTCCCTTCAAGAATGCCTTCATTGTCTTGCTTCTTGTCTCAGTTTGCATGTGAGGTGTAGGTAGAGATTGAAGTTTTATATCCAAAAAAGGTCCATCATGGGCTTGTTATTGTGGAGAAAAAGAAAGAAAATATCCACAATATGTTTGGGATTTAGGGTTGGGAGTACAAGATTTGCACTGATGAGAAAGATACTGAAGAATGAGGAGGAGCTGAGCATGTGCACAGTTCACTGCAGGAGAGAGCCCAGTGGAGTGACAAAAGGTGACCCAGAAACCAAGCTCTTGTCCTGTCCCTACCTAACTGGAATCATTACCATCTCAAATGATGTTAGATGCAGTCAAAAAAGAGAGCTTCAGAATGCTGTGATGAAGTGAAATCTGAAGGAACACAATGATGCATTCAACTGCTACAGAAAACTCGAGCTTTTCTCTTGTCATAGACGATATCTTTGTTAGCTACTGCTGTTTGTTTTTGCTTAGCAGCCAAGAAAAAACACCAGTAGATCTCTGCGTCTGCTAATCAATGCATATATATATATATATAACCCCATGTCTCAGTCTGATTTGTTGAGGTGGTGGTTTCCGGGTCACCTTCCAAACGAAGGAATCTCGCCGGGAAAGAAGAGGATGAAATGGAGGAAGAAGTCACCGAGAGACTTTTGAGACAAGATGGTGGGAGAACACTGAGTGGATTAACCCAATGTCTGCCTTTACCTATAAAGGGGTGTGGGTTGTGGGGGACAAAGCCATGGGAAAGACGACAGCTTTGAGCTTTTGGCATGATGAAGTGGATCGAGTGAAGCCTGTGGGAGGAATTGAAGGGAGTGTGGACTTCGAAATCACTGCAAACGAGGTGGGGACAAGCAGAGGAGGGCATCACTGCCAGCCTTTGGTCTCTCACGCCTACTCCAACTCCAACCCACACAGCTGAATCTTGCATGCCACCGAGTCAATTAATTCCTCAGTCATTGTTATGATCAACGAAATTTTGGAATGATAATGCCACATGGTTTGATTCTGGAAACACTGTTCTTATTACTGCAACAGTGATTCAACGATACTGGATGATATATTAAGTTACTTCTTATTATAATCTATTATGACTCTGTTGCGATGATGAGATCGTCATCCAAATAAATTACAATAGTTTGGAATCTGGGAAGGGGTTATATAGTGCCATGCTACCATCTTTGATCAGCTTCTGTTCGAGCTGTAGAGTATGCAACAATGACAAAGAGCTTTTGTTCTATGCTGTGGATGATCTCATTAGCAGGTTATCGAGGTCGGAAGGACATTATGTGAGCAGGAAGACTGGCGGAAGGGATTGTGATGATGTAGGAAGCCTGAGTGCTTCTTCTTGAGATGGGTAGAGAGGGAGAGAGAAGTGGAACACTCCGACCTTCGGGTGGGAGCTTGCAGAGGTGGAGAGGACTCGGCCACAGGGCGATCTATCTTAAGTACTCCTACTCTCTTCTCTTGTGATTTCCTTCGACGCATAGAAGCAACTCTGATTCAACCAAGCAACATTTCGAATTTGTGTGTTAGAATACGTAGGACTAATTATATATTAGCCTTGTAATGGGTTATCTTAAACATCTCGATCCTTATAATTTAAATAATATGATATTTTTATAATTATAAATTAAAATAGCTAGGTCCAGTTATCCTAACGATATCAGTTTTATCAACGAAAATACGAAAACAAAAGGTAAAAAAAATAATTTTAATGTTCCAATTGATGGTGACGAACGACGGTGGTAGCGGACGTTGACATTGTTGGCATCGACACCGACGCAGCTGCCGAGCAGCCCTTCCTCTGCTCTGCGTATGCATTGTTGTTCTGTTACCATGGAATCGAAGTTCGCTACCAAAGCCATCGCGAAGATTCATCGCTTGTCAAAGCAAGACCCGGAGATACGGCCCCCCTCATCGATATTGTTGTCATGTCCTTTTTTATCACTTGCCTCCTAAACCATCACCACCACCACTCGTACGTAGTCGAGGCTTAGAGCAAGGTTCGCAATACCGTATCGTACCGGTATTTCGACCTGGGCTCGGTACCGGTACGGTACGGTATACCGAGCGGTACACCCAGGTGTACCGAGTACAGTACTCTCGGACCGGTAACAGTCGGTCCGCGTACCGGGCTACAGTGCTACAGTGCGCTGCTACAGTACTCTCGGACCGGTAACAGTCGGTCCGCGTACCGGGCGGTACGGCAAACCCTGGCTTAGAGAACGTCGCCACTACTCTTCTCAACCTCTTCATCTTAGCCCATGAGGCGCTCAAGTGGACCCCAGGCATCCTCAATGCCCTCGTCGTTGCCTTCCGCCTCCTCTCCCCCACCGCAACCCTTTATAGCCTTCTCTCCAATAAAGCATGCTGCCCCATCATCAAGTCAAAAGAGACCCTCATCGCCACCTTCGTGGATCTCCTTGGTGCCTCTGATATGCTGACTAGGTCCATCAAGGACATACTCAAGGTCGACTTTGGCCTGATCATCTACCCACTTAACTGCACTACCCTCATCGAACTAGGCATCGTGCCACCCCTCTTTACACCGGTGGTGAAGGACGAGCGAAAGGGGATGGTGGTGGACGTGACGATAGTGATCACCCATGTGGCAGGATACGACGAGAGCGTGAAGGCATTCTAAAGGGTGGACGGTGTCAGTATCTTAATGGATCTGGTGGTTGGGCGAAGCGGAAGGGCAAGGGAAAACACTGCGACTACACTACTGAACCTGGTAAAGAGCAACAGAAATAAGATGGTGAGGGACGTCAAAGAGGTGGATGAGGTGAAGGCGATTGTGAAGACTTTGGCCAACAGTAATAATGAGGTGAGCACGAGAGGAAAAAGCAAGGCAGAGATGCTATTGAAGGTTCTGGGAACAAGCTGGGGAGCCAGTTGTAAGGTCTTGATGATTCCAAGACCGGCACCGATAACTCCGTGTTGCAAACGACGCAAATGCTGCTCCATGACGAAGCTACATAACACTTCGTCGCCGATCTGCATACTCCACCACTAACATCGTCCGTCACTACTAACTAAAACATTAAAATTATTTTCTTACCTTTTATTTTTATATTTTCATTAGTAAAACCAATGATACTAGGGTAAATAAACTTATATATTTTACTTTCGTAACTATAGGGATATCAGTATAATTTTTTAAAATGCAAAAATCAAGATGCTAAAGGTAACTAATTACGTAAGGTAATCTATAATTAACTCGAATATTTACAACCATTATTTATTATTGACATTGTGGGCTTTTAATAAAGTGTTCAACAAAAAAGGGCTAAAAAAATGCTATTTTTCTCCACGGTCAACAGACCAGAATGCTACAAGGAATTATTTATGTCATTTAATTCTTAGAAACCTGAATGAAAAAAACTGTTTGGACCCTGTCAAATACAACTACTCATACCAGTGGAATGGAGTGTTCGAAGAGTGGATGTAAGTAGGAGAATTGATGACACTTCTAAGAAAGCCATCAGTCATTGACATTATGTTGTCTGCAACTCAATTATATAGACAAAAGGCAGAGAAATCACTGTACAATATTTGTAACCAAGAAGTTTGTTGACTGACAAAGGAAAACTAAATCTTTTCTTCATGAGTTGCAGCCAGATTTTAGTTAAAAGTACGTGGATCCAATCTTAAGTCCCCATACCATAAAAAGAAAAAAAAAATCCTATACTTTTTTGTTATTCTAAGGCAAATCTATTCTATAAGACGACAGAGATCCACATGAAACTTAGTTCTTTGGACTAGGCTTCACATATAAAACTCTCACAAACCTAGCAATATCCAAACTGGATCATCTCCATATTGTTTCATTTGCATCTGTGAAAACGGCATTGTGATGTTCAATGAGGCACTGGATCACTTCAATGGCACCATAATCAGGTGGCAAATCATCATCTAGGGGGATTTGAGAAGATGCATCAGCGTCCTCATCCTCATCTACCACAAAATCCAACAAGGAGAAAAAGAAGAACATGAGAATATGAAAATATGAAAATAGAGAAAATTATGCAGATATAGCCCGAGATTAAATTCCCTCTATGATCCTTTTGGTAGATCTCATAATGACTTCTCGTTTGTATTCCATGCATACAAATCTAGATTCCCTAGGCGTATAATAGCAGTTGGTTTTGAGACATCCCACAGGTAGTTTGAGCATTCACATTATTTGAACACGTTAAATGACCATGCTGGACATATATTCATGATTCGGAATGCCTTACTTTTATATATGTACACTGACTATAGACATTCAAGATAAACAGAATAAGCCTGATATTGAAATTTTGATCAAGATAAAATCATCATGATGAAGGTGAAGAAAAAGATTTTAGGAGACAAAATAAAGATCATATGAAGGCAGCATACTTTTTTGTGCGATAAAAAAACTAGTGAATGATAGAGATGACGAGGCAGATCATGTCACCATGTAGGTTTGCATGAATAAGAATAAGCACATAAAACTTTGGAAACTCATCCTGTTATAAGCTTGTTCATGTTCAAGTACAGTACCAAAACTTACCCAAATAGTCAACCCAACTATTGTGGTTCAAGGTCTGATCCATGGTTCCTGAAGGATCTTTTGATGTGTAGTAAAAATGACTGTAGAAATCTGCTCTTGGATCCCCTTGCTGCCGCATAATCACAGGTGCGAGTTCCACAGACAGGCTATGAGCATCCATCTGCATTTAAGAAATTAAGTGGATATCAAAATTGCAATAGAACAATCTCGATCTTAATGATAAAACCAATAAATTTAGCATCAGAATACAAAGAAAAAGGAGGTCTCCAACACCACCAGACAGTAACAGATTCCAGCAGAGAAAAAAAGAAGACAGATAACAAAATGAAAAGGTTGAAATTGAAAATATCCAAAACCAAGGGGGGAATGACTTAGATAAAAGCTTTTGCTGCTTCATTGATGCATTGAAACCAGAGGAGGTGGCATGGAATGGTCGGACAGTTGCATGTTACCCAGACTCCTTGAAATAAATGACTGGATTGCCAGGAGGAAGGAAGCTAGGTCTTAATGGCAGGGAGGAATCCAAGTGTCTTCAATTGGATGAGGGATTCCAGGTTCAAGAATTAATCCACTGTAATCCCAAGATCACAACATGATTTTGTGCATATGGTGCAAAATCATATTCATATGCTGAAAACAAGTAGAAAGCAGTCCCAAGAATAGCTATATCTCAAAGTTGGCTGACATCAAACATTTAGATAAAGATTGTCGAGAAGTCAAAAATTATTATTTGAGAAGCAACAAAATACAAGAAACAATGAGAATAGTAGCAACTAAATCTATTGTGATTTCTAAGAACCATATTGGTACCAGACTTTCTCTCTCTATACACATTAATCTTAAGACAAAATTGGATGAACCTATACTTAAGAGTTCTACTACGTCCCATGATATTCACAGCATAAAATCAATGTGCACCCATGTTTTGTATTGAAAATAGCAGTAAGTGTGGCTGTAATAAGATTACTTCCAAAGACAAAAAAGTTTCACCATAACCACCTAAAAAGGAGCTTAATTCATACTTAAAATAGTTCAGTACCAATTTTAAAGATAAAAGAAGAGGATACTACCTTGTTAAGCAATGACTTCTGGCTCACTTGGAGCAGCAGAGCAGTAACAAACTCTAGGGTCATGAAATTCACATTTGGAAGCTTCTTCAAACTGTCTCTCAACTCAGAGATGCTACTTCTTGCATTTCTAATCTCATGATATAAAGCAAATGTAGTCAGCGGCTCTGGGAGGCTGGCAAGATAGCACTTAACTAAAGCAGCCACATCAATGGGGCTTACACCCTCTGGTATTGATCCATTCCAGTCTGCAATATTCAAACCCCACGAGGAAAACATGATTCCTTTGGCATGACAAAACAACAAACAAAAAGCTTCAAGGTGTACCTTGATTGTAAAGTGCAATCAACTGACGAATAACTTTTCTATCTCCTTCAGTTTTAAACAAATTCTCTGAGTTCAATCCTAGTGAAACAGAAGCCAATATCAGTTTCATTATTTCTAAGAAAATAGTAACATTTTCCAGATTTTTTGTCTCAAGCCACCTGATATAATGAGATTTTCTGCACATCTGACCAATATTTGAGGAACAGGCCTTGTAGATTGTTGCTGTTGCACAAGAACCTCTATTGGCACCCCAAATACTGCAAGGTTCATGGCAATATAAGTTAGTACGAACTCCTATTTGTTCAGAAAAAGAAAAGCCAGCACTTATCTTTAACCAAACTCAACATAGCCTTTCAATATGAACAGCTGGAATTATAAAATGAGTATGAAAAAGATACAATCACTGATTGCCGTGCTGTCCAAAACAGTACAAAATGGGTGGTATGTACCGGTCCACGCGTGGGCTGGTACATGGACCACACCCGTTTCGGGCAGCCTGGTCCAGTTCTATAAAAATAATAAAAAAATCAAAAATAGCGGCCCAGCTCCTTCTTTGACATGGGTAGTAAAACCAATAGTATAGTGAATCCATATGACAGAAAAACTCACCATCAGTGCTTGCAACTCCCTGCAAAATAGATGTAAGAAACAGTGAGAATGCAGCTAAATGCAAGGAGGAGTACCCTACACTTGCCAATATGACACACCTTTTGCCAACGTTCAATATTGTTTAGAATGTTCTTACTTTTATCTGCGGTCTTCTTTGCTGCCTGAAAAGAAGAAATAAAAAGGAGTATGAAAAATTAGAGTGAATCTCATACAGATTTAAACTGAAGCAGTAAACAGAAGGAAAGAAGAACCCTACAGAAAAGCAATAGAAATAAGCCAAAGTAGAAAACATCAGTGATACAGTCCTTGAACCAATCAAGATCACATAACAAATTCTTGGCAACCAATTTCTAACTGACCTACGTACACTTCTCGAGTTTCTTTTGTCTTAAGTCAACTTCATGAGGCTCTACGACTTTATTGCCAGCAGTTTGCAAGAAAATTCAGCTCATATGCAGTAAAGCTTGTCCAATTAAATAAAGAGCAGCTTAGTGGTTTAAAAGGACTTAGTAGATCCTAAATAAAACGAAAAGAGACACCCTTAACGTGACATGTAGGTAACTCATATTTTATAACACATAAAAGCTTCGACATCTCTAACTTACCAAATGCAGTCTTAAACTGGACAATCAAACAAAATCTTCAATACATTACAAGCTTTCAGATTGCTTCCGTAGTGAATTTCATGTTATAATCTATGAATATTGGGTAAACAAAAATGTAAAATTTGATCCATAATGCTACAAGAGTTAAGATGATCACTAGATGATGTCGAATTTTCAAAAATGAGCAAAATTATTAGAAACAATTTTCTTGTGTAATTTTTAAATATCTTAAAATTTTGATTTGCACACATTGAATCATTGCGTACCATCTTCTCACATAAGATGTCAAAACTTGATTGCTCATATGTTTTATTTGCTCAAACTTCACTTCTTCTACTTTACTCTCCCGTAAGACTTATGATTTTCTTCTATGTGGAGAACAAATCACTCAGATATTTTAATAGGAGAATGGATCTGTCCAAATGGCCAAGGAAGTGTATCTAGTATATCAACTAAAAAACTAAATGAGAAAAAGACTTCAACCATGCAACACCAGTGTGACCTTAACTCTCATGCCTACCCCCACGCCCCTGAAATCATGTTAAATATGTATCGACACGGTCGATACACCTATATAAATTGTCACATCTATAATTCTTTGTTATATCAATTAGAAATCGGACATTTCTCACAATTAATACAGCCTACCACCATAACATTAAAAGTGACCATAAGATTTTCTGAAACCATTATGGGAACCATCCTCTAATACTTTACACAGTACAACACTAAGAATACAGAAAGTACTTTATGTTTATGTATCCTTGCACCACAGCTTATCGTCGAATTGCGCACTTGGTTATGTGTTTGAATATCATATGCCTCCAATTGTCACATTTTTATGCATGCATCATGAGACCTTTTCAAAAGCATTAGTTGGCAGAACTTTTAGTTTTCTGATTTACACGTTGTAAGTACGTGATGTCTGTTGCCTATAACCCACTATGATGATTCTAAGTTCGGGGGTCGGATCAAAAAACTAAAACCTTCACAAAATCTTGTGGGCATACACTATAGCAACTAGAACATGGGGGTGATCTATAAGTCCTATCATTAATATAAATGGATGACATGTCGATTTTGCATACAAGTACATGAACATAAAATTCCGAAACCAATGCGAGCTTTACCTCTTCAACCTTCAACTTTCCCACTGCAACCTTTTCTTTAGTCTCTGTTATGCCCTTCTTCAGAAGGGCCCCAGTGGAAGTAGCAGCATAACGGAAGCGCTCCTGGATACTCTCTCCGGATGCAACAGGGTTCTGCTGCTCCCTGGATTGCTGCATGAGAGCCCATCGGTTCTTCACCAGCGACCCAAACTTCCCGGCCGCATCTGCAACATTTCCCCCTGCGTTCTTGGCTATGCTGCCAGCAGACTGCCCAGCTTGCTTAAGCCTCACTCCTACAAAAAAGATGCCGTCAAAATATAGCATCAGAAGCCATCCTAATGTTAGAAAGGATAAAAAAGAAATGGTTTTAGGGATCAGATAAAATTACCAGAGGAAGAGAAGAAGCCGGACGCTTTCTCTCGCCACTGCGAAGAAACTTCAGGTGGCATAGTGAATGGCGATAAGGGACGCAACTATTAAATAAAATGAGAAAAAAAATACGTCAAGAAATAGAACGATAAAGAAAAGCCCTAGATTCGATTAAAGGCCAAGAATCGTAAACCAAACCAAACTCAAGCCCCAAAAGAACGATCAAGAAAGCGATGATTTAATTTTCTGAAAGAAACACCGGAGTTGTTCAAGAAAGCCCTAACGTCCGATTGAGCGTCAAGAGTGAAGCCCCGAATCCAACTTTAGTGAGACTCTACCTTCAAGAACCATCGAGTTATCTAAACAAACGCATCAACCTGGAAGAATCTAATCCAACAGGCGCAGACGGAAACAAGGAAGAGGTTTAAGGAAGAAAAGGCCCATAAAACCTGGAATCAAGGGGGGAAAAGACGATCAGATCAGCCAAACCAGACGCCTGTGCTTACCTTCTCTGGAATACTTTTTCTTTCTTCGATTTGCCTCCCCGCAGCGGAGGAGGGGCGAGGCGATGGAAGGGAGATCGGGGCGAGCAATCGTAGTAATGAATCGGGCTGACAATTCTTGGAAAGTTGCAGCGATCGATGAGCCAAACAAAGAGATTCTTCTTCGGGTCCTCCCTCTCTCTCTCTCTCCGCTCCTTCCTGCTCTTCTCCCTTCTCTTGGGGATGGATCGGGTTAAGCTACGAATGGTGCTCCGACGCGTATGGCCGAGACGAGAAGAAACGGACTCGCGCCTGCCGCAAGCACACGTTGCTTTGTCGGCGGGTGCGCTGCCGGCATGTTGGTCGGGTCCGATTAAGCGTACCTATCAAAACCGCCCGGTCGATTAATGGGTCAATGGTTCGGCCGTAGATCGTAGTTATAATAAAACATAGTGACATATATAAAGTTTATTTTTCTGTCTTGTTTTTCTCTCTATATTTTTTTTATATAAATCGTTTAACCATTTTCATTTATTATTGATGTGTATCGGACGTGATTAATCATTAATTATCTCGACGATGATTGGATTAGCTTGACTGCTTTTGCCCACAAAGAATATATTTCACGTTTCAAATGTTTTTATCCACGAAGAATGCATCATGTGTCAAAGACATTTATGTCTGTGTAGGATGTATCGAGAGGTTTTTATTTGTGAAAGATACATTAGACACTTTGTCTATGAAAAGTGTATTCGTGAAATTTATTTTCATCAAGGACAATGCTTCAAATGCTCTTATCGACTTCAAATATTTTTATTCATAAAATACACATCAAGAGATGCTGACAGACATCATGAGGCTTTTGTGCTTTTGTTTATGAATGATGCATCGAATGTTTAGAATGCTTTTGTCTATAAAAAATACATCACATATAAAAAATGTTTATGTCCGAATGTGTCGGATATCAAGATGTTTTGAGGTATTTCGATCATGCTATGGGTTAAGAGTAGAGTTAGAGCGCATATCGAACTATCATGGACTTAGCTGGAATTGCCTAAGTCGTGAGGTACCGTTGTGGCCAAGATGCAAACTTAGCTTGAGTTGCCTAAGTCGCGAAGCACCCTTACGCCAACTTCTCGGACTTAGCTGGGATTACCTAAATCATGAGACGCTCTTGTGATATACGTGTCCGCAAAAGGTAAGCCTAGTTATAACCTCATATAGGTCCCGAAAGACTTATAAAACAGAAAGTTTAGATTGAAAACGAGCGACGAACAAGTGCCGACGTCTCGGAAAGAGAGAAGCTTTACAAGCAATTTAGCAAGCACCTTGTGTGCATAGGAGAAAATAGAGGACGGAGGAAAACAAAGACTTTAGAAGGTAAAACAAATAATTGTAAGTCCACAAACAACTGCTCATCGGTTGTCGGGCGCGAAAGCAAGTTCCTGTCAAATTAACGTGCGAACTTGTGAAGAGTTTTTCAACGCCCGACAATATATCGAAGCCCAATCCAACCCTGTGCCACCCCGGGGGATTCTAGGGTGTTGAAATGGCTGACGTTTCGCATACAGTTGTGGCTTACAGAAAACAAGTTGTGACACGCGAAAACAGAGTTGTTTTGGACAGTTCGATCCGACGCAATAAGTGGTCGTACTACAGTGATGTAACCTGTTCGAACTTATATTTTTACAAGTATGCAAAAGTGACAAACGATTCGTTGAACGAAATTATAAAAAATACCTTAGTACAATTTCGTTAAAGACCCTCTTCTATCGTCAAAATAATATATATAATATTTGGATCAGTCTGACTTATAAAAAATCTAATATAACCAAGGTTTGGACACCCAGGATGCTCGAACAGATGATCAACCTACACAAAGATTGATGCAGATGGAGCTTCACGTGATTCCTCTGAAACTCTAGTCAAACATGGAACGTGTCAAACAATTACTACCCTTCACGGGATAAATTTTTTTTAGGAGATTTAATAAAAAAAATTCTAAGGTACCAAACTTCCACGTGTCGAGCCCTCAAATATTTCCTTTCTCATAACCGATAACAAAGAATACATACATATATTGTGATTCTTACGTGGTAATTGGTTGACTACGAGAATAAAAAGATGCAAAGCGAGTGCCCTGCGCAGCAGATAAAGGAGCCATACTTTCTCCACTCATTCGCTTCCACCCACGGACGTCTGCCTTCTGATTAGTGGTAGTTATGGTTGTAGTTATGGGACCCACTATTAAACCACCACTTCTTCGAATAACAATGCAGGTAGGTGATAAGGGTCATCCGAATTGGGGAACCGACATCGCTTTATTATCCTGGTGACGCTTTAGCTACCCGTTTATTGTTTACTCAACTACGTACACGCACTGGCAGATGGAGCCTACCTATGACTGGCACGCGGGTTCCATCACTAAGCCCAAAAGAATGGTGCGGTGGGTAAGACTTGAGTGGGTACGAAACAGTTTTTGCTCTTTATCCCATTTCCTCATGGTTCTCTTCTTCTTCCGTGTTCCAGTGACTCTCCTTCCTCGCGATCTCCCGCTCCCTCTCCACCTCCCTCCTCTGTCTCCAAAATCGCAACTTTAACCCGAGTTTTCCTTCTCGGAATTAGTGTTTCGGGATCGAGTACGGGACGTGGAGGAAACGGCGAGCGGCAGGGAGATGGCGCGGCGGTGCTCCCACTGCAACCACAATGGCCACAATTCCCGGACGTGCCCTAACCGCGGCGTGAAACTCTTCGGCGTGCATCTCACCGATGGCTCCGTCAGGAAGAGCGCCAGCATGGGGAATCTCTCCCTCCTCGCCGGATCTAGCGGCGGCGCATCGCCGGCCGACGGCCCGGAACCCGGCAGCGGTGCCGCGGGGGGCGGGTACGCGTCGGAGGATTTCGTGAAGGGGTCGTCCTCCAGCTGTCGCGAGCGGAAGAAAGGTGAGCCTCCGTTGATCTTCCAAACCTTTTGCTTGCCCTTTTTTCTTGGTTTGGTAAAAGATGTATCTTTTATTCGGATTGACATCTTTTCTTCAATAAACTTCTTTATTGCATTTCAAAGACTTCTTTTGTACCCCATTTTCATTGGATATATTCGTTAGGGACACATTGAACGCCTAGATTTGGTAATGATTTGTGGAAAGTTTTTAATGGGATATGTGATATTCCCATCCTTCCGCTTTCGGAACCTAACATGTATCTGTACTATGTAGATTTCACAAGTTCGGTACAAATTTTTGGATGTCGTCTACACAGTTGCCAATCTTTTATAGGTTCACATGCATGTAATCTCTGCATGCAGAACTGATTATTTAGGATTCACCACCATGTTTTTATAGGTTCACAAGCATGTCATCTCTGCATGCAGGAGTGATTATCTAGGATTGATAATGAACGTGATCACTTGGCTATTTCATGGATTCTTGCATTTAAAATTCTTCTTTTTCCTGCTTGGATGATATGGTAGGTTTCTGTATGCATAGGTGCGATGGTAGCAGAACAGTTCAATTTTTTTTTTTTAGGAAAAGGATGGAGAAATTGTTAGAGAATTGATGAATGAAAGCTATTTGTAGTCTGCCTATGTTATCCTTCGGTGGCAGGCATTAAATTGAGTGAAATTCTTCTAGATCTGCATTTGTTATCGTCAACCATGCCATCATGAAACACTATAAATGGATTTTAGGAAGAAGGATAACAGAATAAATGACTTTGACAATTGGTAACACTATGCTATTATATTTCTGGGACAGCCACATGATTGGAAAATTTGAAATTTCTACTGTGATACATCTAGTGGTACTAATAAATGCTCTACACAAATCGATTTTTTTATACTCATTCACAGATGAGCAATCAGTTAGTTCAGGGGATCGCTGTAGCTTTTTCTGAGCCAAATAGGAAGAGCCAACCTACTGAAAAACCAAGAATCTGACTGGAAAGACAAGGTATATGAATCAAAGAATGACAGGATCAACCTTAATATCTCGATTTGGTTGATTTGTTTGCTTATTTTAGAATAGAAAGGAATATACTGAAACTTTGAAGTGGTTGGCAACAGAGGGTATAGGTTTTTTGGACTAAATAGGGTTCAAATGAAGAGTTATGCTGCTTTATTTGTGCCTTCTAGATATTCTAAGAATAAAGAAAAAGGAATTTGTATGTATTTTGGGAAACAGTGAAGATGAGGTAAAACAAACCACTACATATTATATGATCAATACAAAACAATAAAGATGAAAAGATAAAAAGATGATTCTTATGTCAGCTAGATAGCTTTGTTGGGTAGGAGAAACAATCATTGGACCATGATGATGATGGAGTTTACTTCAATCAGCAGCTTATTGTACTTTTTCACCCTCATTGGCACTGCACAACGTAGCCCTAAGCTTTGACATCCTTGGGCAATCTCCATTAATCCATGGTCAGATTTCACTTCCACTAATGCATCTTGAAGCAAAGTGCTATAGATGTCTTAGAAACAAAGAGATGAGAGTGAAACTGTGGAAGAGAAAATAATGGAGACATTTAAACAGTAGTGGAACAACTGTGAAAAATGTCCATGTGTAAAATGATTGCTCACTTGTACTGAAAATTTTGTTGGTAACACATCTGTTTTCTGTTTTTTCATTGTGTTCATCACCTTCAGCTGTGACATTTCAATTTGAGGCAGATTGAAATTGATCATATGGACTTTTTGTTGTTAATTTTTGCAGGTACTCCATGGACTGAAGAAGAGCATAGAATGTTCTTACTTGGCTTGCAAAAGCTCGGCAAAGGTGATTGGCGAGGTATATCTCGGACCTATGTGGCATCAAGGACACCTACTCAAGTGGCTAGCCATGCACAAAAGTATTTTATTCGCAAAACCAACATGACTAGAAGAAAAAGAAGATCGAGCCTCTTTGATATGGTACCTGATGAGGTCTCTCTCTCTCTCTCTCTCTGTCTCTCTCTCCCCTTAGCCGATGTTTGCATAAGTGAACCTTCTTATGGAGGAGTGTGTTATGTTCATGTTTGAGACATGCATAATGCAACATCATATTGGTGCAATTATATTATGACATGAATTTGAAGTTTTTTTAATAACTAATACATATGTCAGTGACAGTGGTTTCATACAGTGGTTGATGCAATCTGTTTTTATAATACATTAATTGACAAAGAAGAGTTTCTTGGATAAAATGTGAAGGATTTATTCAAATCATATGATTAATTTGTTTCTAAAAATATTTTATGAATATGTGTGGCTGGCTGACATTCCTTTTATTTCTTTGTTATCACCTTGAATTTCAGGAGTTCCCAATGAGCTTTCAAGAATCAGAAGCACAAAATAACAATCTACCTCCTGTACCTCCAACTCTGAACGAGGAGTGTGAATCAATGGATTCTAATGACGCGACAATTGGAGAAGCAGTTGTTCCACAACCAGAAGCTCCACAATGTAGCTATCCTGTGATACTTCCAGCTTATTTTTCACCACTCTTGCAATTCCCATTCCCTTGTTGGCCAGGATACAAAGCAGATACTTCAGAGCAGCAGGCACATGAAATTATTAAGCCAACAGCAGTACATTCGAAGACTCCTATGAACATTGATGAGCTTGTGGGTATGTCAAAATTGAGCATAGGAGAGTCCCGCGGATCCACATTGGATTTGCTTGGACGGTCAAAGAGGCAATCTGCTTTCCATGCTAGTCCATCAACTAAGGCTCAAGCATGATCGAACTATTTAGACAGGGTTGACAAGTCAAGGTTTGCCATGAGAAAATTAGCCTTGCCTCATTGTTATGGTGATCACGACAGTAACTGGATTCCTGGGAATTCTCCTCATACTACAGCTTATGTTCATATTCTCTGCTGAAATATTAGCATGTTATATATTGGCTACTCTGTTGATTCTTCAAAATAGTAATTATAGATTCACAGTTCTGTTTTCATCTTCTTTTTTTGCAGAAATTTTATTAATTGCATCTATAAGAAAAAAATCCTTGAGACTATGTTAAGAGTACATTGGTGCAGAAGTTACTTAATATTTCAGTGAAGGTTTATTGCATGATTGTCAGCATGCAGTTCAAACTGTATGCAAGTTCTACATAAGTTTGCCGAGTAACATGTAATCAAACTATCACATGGTGACTCTCTGAATACTTCTTATCACCTTAATCTCAAATCACATGAATTTTATTTTCAATTCAAAGAATTGAGTTTTCAGTAGATAGCCTGTGGCAATTATTGTCCTTGGTTGTCATTTTGTTTGATGATCATTCATTGATGGATGACCAACAGGTAATCACCAATCAGCATTAAAAGTGTGATGACCGACCTTAGCCTGTTGGTTTTAGGCCTAATTCTGTTGAACGAATTTAGTTTCTCATTGCCTCAAAGTCACTGAAAGTAAACACTAGTTATGCAAGCCCAAGTGCAGTTTCCAGACTGGCGGTAGTTCTGAATTGAGTTCAGGGAACCAGATAACAAAAAACCACCAACATCTTCTTGTCAAATTTTGGTCAAATGAAACAAATTCTTAATGTTTGACTTTGCTAATCTGGTTTCATGTGATTTATGCCCACCTAAGTTGCTTCTGACTCATGAACAGATTCGCACAATGTTTTTCTTATTTTGTAAGTCATTCAGATAGATCTCTCATTTTAAAGATTCAGGGCCAATAATTTAAGTCAATGCATGTGAGACAAGTTACCATCCTGTGATCTTTAGTTGGTTGCTTGTTGGTGCCTATAGATCTCGACTTATAAATTTGTGAGTAATTAATACTGAAAATAATCTGGAGAAGTATGTTGATGCCCTCTCGAGCGTATTTTGTGATTTTTAATGTCCATGAGTGCTATATTTCATTTGCTTTCTGTTACATCGATGACAATTTTCATCAAGAACTTTTTATTTTTTCACTCTTTGGTTTCGTTATATAAATGTGTTGTGAGCATGTCTCAACCTAATTAAGGTGTTGTGCTGTTGTGAATGCTCCATGGGCTCCAGAAGTCCCAGTTCTTCCTGTCAGAGAACATTGGAATCCTTCTAACCATCTATCTGCTAACCATATCAGTCATTCAGTCTCTCTCTCTCTCTGTTAATAATGTACAGCTACATGAGACAGCCAACAATCTTGGAAGATGAAATGTGTTCAATATTTTGTAACAATATGCTAGAAAATTAGATGCACATGGAGTTGTGGAGCCTTTCTTGTTGACTGATGACTGTTCTCATATACCAACATTCAGCAGAGCAGAGCTTCCTGTATGTATGATCTGCCGAAGGCAGTTGTAACTTGTCGCTAGTATCGGAATGCTGGTTTATTTACTCATGGTGGTAAGCTACTTCTGTGCTCTGCTTCATTCTGTTTGTGCACTGTTGTTTAGATTAATGGTCATCCTGTCATGTGGATTTATTCAAATTCATTCTTCATGCTAAATGTTGTCATCAGTTTCGTAATTTTGAGAGAGTTGCACCTGTGATCCATGGCGATACAAATAGTCGGTGATCGTTTTCTTCCAACTTTTTATGATTTTATTGGATTTGATGAGTAGCTAGCTATCCCCTCATATGAACTCCATTGCTACTGTGCTTTTCTCTTGGGTTTGGAGGATGCATCATTGCCCTCCTATCATTTATTTGTAATTTTCTATGCATAATTTGATTTTATACTATCTATTTGTTGGATATACGACCTGTAGATGCTAAATTATTGTCATCTTAAAAGTTTATTGCCGTGAATGATAGATGATATATGATATGCTTAAAAGTCTTTGTCAACTTTTTTGATAGTTGAGCAACTGATTGAACATGTTAACTTGGTTTTCCTTGTTAATGGTATCTTTGCCCAATGGCAAAGACTAGTTTATAGAGATGAGTACTATTCTGGAGCTTCATTATAACCTCGCTGCACAAAATTTTCTGCAGGTATCAGATTCAGAGGAGTTCAATGCCATGGGAACACTCTCAAATCGTTCAATCTCACTGGAGTTTGGGGAATAAAGAGAAGGTACTTCCTGTACTATGAAATATAAAGATGAAATGCTTGCTTACCTTTAAATCTTTCTCAAGCTTAGCTTCTCCCCACAAGTCATTCGCATGTGCCCTCTGCATGGTTTACTCAAACCAAGTTTTCATTTCCAGATTTCTTCTTTCTAAATCCCTTACTGTGTTCTTCGATGGTGTTGGCATGTTGAACAGCAGCAGGGGGGGAGGAAGAACGGAAAGGCGAAGGCCTCGTGAGGCACATCTGCTCGTGCTGTTGTCTCGGAGCAGAGGCAGAAGGGGTGGTAGGTGAGGGGAGCAGCTCGTACTGGGTGGTATACCAACAGGTTGTCTTGTGTGAGTTATGTGGAGGCATGCAGTGAATGGTACGTGCAAATAAGATGGAAGGAAGAAACAGAGGGTGGGGCATCGGCCATCTGCGAGGGGGGGAGACCTCTCGTGGTGAGTGACGAGCCACACATGGCCTCGAGCGCTTTGAGGTGGACTGACCACTGCATCATCAATGGCCGGCCTTGGCGAAGAAGCCACCAACACATGGACAAGAAGACCGAGGAGGAGGATGGATTATTATTCCCTCTCTCTCTCTCTCTCTCTCTCTCTCTGACACACAAACTATAAGTAAAGAAAACATCTATATATTTTGATATTTATTTCATATGTGTAATATTCATACTTTGTTTTGATTTGTAAAATGAGATGTTAGAGCCTATAAATATGGATACTTTCTCTAATAAATTAATCTTTTGCGATTAAAATATCATATATGATATATTTAGTCTTTTCTATTATTAATCATCTAAATGAAATCTTCTTTATGTCTTTCTTAAGATATCCGGATAGATTAATGTATTACATATTATTATATATAATATAATAATAAAAAATAAAAATAATATATTATTTTCTTTCTCGTATATGATGTTTATTATTAATCATTCAAATGAAATCTTCATTATGCACACAAAAAAATAGTAACTATTTATGCCTTTCTTAAGACATAAACAATACAGTAAATTATTATTATTTTCTTCTGAAAGCTGCTCATATATAATAATTTACTTATAGAACTTTTAGGAATCCACACACACAACATATAAGCACCGACCTCTCGGCCATTAAATTACCACTACTGAGCTATTATATATAACCCATCAATGCTCAATTCAATCACAATTTAGCTTATATTTGAGCACTGAAAGAAACATCACTGGAACTTGCTGAGAAAGTTCCAAGTGGATTCCCACCCGCAATGCATGCGTTTACTGAGACACATCTCTGTAGTACATGAAATAAAGTTATACAACTAAAAGAAAAACGTAATAAGGTTTTCTTTCAGACCCCACAATCGTCGTGTAGTCGACTGTTCAATGGAACGAGGTGCAGTGGGAATGTCAACTAAATCTTGAGGTGTGTCCCATCGCTGGATTCGCTGCTTTCGAAGGCTACAAGACAAGCCTCATTAGGTGGCAAAACCTGCTTAGATTAGCGGCTGTCATGTGGCAAAACCACTAATTGCTCATCAACGTATATGAGATGTAGTTTACTGAGGTCTAATAGTAAAAGAAATGGAAAAAAAGAGAATGATGTAACACCAATTGATAAGATCCTGTGGGGGAATAAATAAGAGAAAAAGGGAATGATAATGATCGCTTTGAGGGGATCGGCCTCCTTGATCGTTTCGAGGGGATCAACCCTCCTTGATCACTTAGAGGGGATCGACCCTCCTTGATCACTTCGAGGGGATCGATCTCCTAGAGTTTATCCACATAGTGGAATAACATTTCATTGATTGATTGATTCCAAAAGAAATGGTTACATCACTATTTATAGAGTTCCACCTAGAGTTCATCGACTCTTAATAATAAATAAATATTAAATAAATCTCTGACTCTAACTAAACTTAATAAACAACTGAATTAAACCGACTCAATAAACATTATTCAAAAGCTCGATCTTAATATTTACTTCCCAGCAGTCATCTAAGACCCTAAATTGTTAAGTTTGATAGTTTCTTTAATATATGTATGCATAAATTTTTTTAATATATAATGAAAGGAGTCTTAAACGTTCGATTTGATGTACATCTATAACGACTAAGATTAAATATGTTCGAAATATATGAATAAATAATATCTATCTCGATTATTGTGATCCGATGAACTTTTATAATCGATTCGATAATAAATAATTATCTTTGGTGACTTTAGTATTAACTGAATTATCATCACATGTGAATTGGAGTCATGATAGAGGATAAATGTATCATGGTAAATATTTTGGATAAGTTGATATAGAATCACATAGATTTCTTGTGAGGAAAGGTAAGACAAGAAGCTTCTTCTCCCTCTTCTATAATGCAAGGTGGGTAGGACACTCAAGTGGGCAAGCTTTTGAATTGTAAGAAGGAGCAATGGTGTCATCAGATAAGACAGCATCACAGCTTATTTGATTCTTAATTGTAATGCTGTGATTTAGCACCTTTTATCTGCTTTTATGATATTGGAGATCAAATATATTGTCATGCAAACATCACCTCCATGCATGTTCTTCACCATTAAAAGGTGGAAGCAACTCATGAGCCTCCAAAAGAGGCATACAGAAGACATCAGTTCATGTGATCCAATCACTTGGTTTTACTCTCTCTCTCTCTCTCTCTCTCTCTCTCTCTCTCTCTGTCTTTTTGTATATTTATATAGTATTTTATTTTATTTTATACATGTGAAATCTTATTGGGCATTATAAATGCTCATCAGATTGCTATTTATGCAGCCACTTTATATTGCCTCTCCTGCGCAAACATCTGTGCTGCTCCAACCATGGAAGAGTCACTCGGCCATGATTGTGAAGCTAACTCCTCCTCTTCCTCTTCCTCTTTATCTACTGTCACATGCTCCTCCTCTTCCTCCTCCTCCTCTTCCTTCTTCTCCATTACCGCCTCTTCATGTCCCGGTGTCCATGGCTCGAAGAACATAAAGAGAACTTCCAAGAGAATGGCTGAGGCTACGGCTGGTGGTGGTGGTGGTGAAGGTAGGAAGAGAAGTAAGGATGGGAAGCATCCTGTATACCACGGCGTCCGGATGCGGAGTTGGGGCAAATGGGTGTCGGAGATCCGCGAGCCGAGGAAGAAGTCGAGGATCTGGCTGGGGACGTTCCCGACGGCAGAGATGGCGGCCCGAGCTCACGACGTGGCCGCGATGGCCATCAAGGGCCAGTCGGCGCACCTCAATTTCCCCGAGTTGGCCGCAGAGCTCCCTCGGCCCGCCACCGCTTCCCCCAAGGACATCCAGGCGGCGGCGGCGCTGGCCGCCGCCGCCACGTTCTGCGCTCGCGGCGACCTGACGCCGTGTACCAGCTCGGAGTGCTCCGGGCCGGGCCAGGCAGAGCCGCCGGCCTCCAGCTCCCCGACGGGCGACATCGACGACGCGCTCTTCGACTTGCCGGATCTCCTTCTTGATCTCAGACAAGGGTTCCGCTACTCCTCCTCCTCTTCTTCCTCGTGGCTCCCTTCTAATGACGACGACGGCGTCGAGTTCCGGATCGAGGAGCCATTCTTGTGGGAGTACTATTAGACCTCAAGCGCACACGGAACTCTCCTCCGCATTTGCCGGCATGAACAGTGGAAGCAGCACCCGCACTGTTCATCAAGCCTACCTTGTCAGGTTCAAGTGCAGCTCCCTCCTCATCAACCGGACGAGGAAGCTCCTCAGATCTGTTGCCTCACTTACGCAGCCGCTTTCGATGCAAGTCTTCCGCAAGAACTCCACTTCTCCATGTACAATAACGAAGCAAGAACGAGCACGTTTACTCCTCCTCTACTTGACAAGTGTGTTTATGATGCCATATACGAGTGAAAGTAAGGTTTGGATTCATGTGTTTGTGAGTAAGGAATGGGATTCAAGGTGATGATTGTTATCAGATTTCTTTGCTGAATTGGAGAGCACTCGCTTTGATCATTTATGCTCTGTTCCTACTGATAATGGTGACAAAAAAAAGCACAAGTAGCACACTTCGTTTTCTAACAGGAATATCTCCATTATTTAGTCACAAACATGATCTCTCACCACTATGTGAGATCTCTTATCTAGTGGAGAGTCCATTGATGATAATGATATCTATAAAGAGAGGTTAATCAATCCTAAAGGTAAAGGACAAAGAGGGTAAAAGAGTGATCAATGATGCTGACATCGAAATCAGATTGACCTCTCCTTTTGGTATCTCTTCTTTTGTCTCCCTCTATTTGTTTTAGCTTCAGGTAAAGCTAATTGCTTGTTGAGCAGCCAGTTGGTGTTCACATATTGGTAGGGTGAATATGAATCCTTTTTGAGATATATCCTAACTATGAATCCTTTTTTGTATGAGATGATTGAAGGATTCTCTTTTTCTCTATATATATAAGCTTTCCATTTCAGTCAGGTTCTTTCATCCATGGGGAAGTGGTGAGGCTGTAGTTCTACCTTTTCGGATCAAGAAATTTTAGTACACTACCTGGGGTTGCTGTTCTTGGCAGAGTCACATGAAAACAGTGCTTCAAGAGTGCAGAAGAATTTTGAACTTTGACTGCTGAACACTAACAATGATTCATTTCAATTTTACCTTTTTTTCTTGGGGAGGGGGGGGGTTGTGTCATGATCTCTCATTTATTGAAAATGTGTATGGTTTTCTGTATGATTGAAGACACAGAGCAATGGTGATGGAACAGTCTACTGCCACTAACAAGTGCATCTCACAGGAAAAGGCAATTAGGTGACAAAAACTCTGAGTGTCACTTTCCAAGATGACAAAGATAATGGGACAGTTGATGCAGACTAACACCATCAAGAGCTGGGTTGATCCAGGGTTGTCATGTATCCTAGTTGCAGAGAAATGAGAAATCTAACACCTGATTACCACCCTAACAATAATGAGTGACACAAGATGTTATGTGAGTGCAGGCTGGGAGGACAAATGGCAGCAGAAACAGCAGGCAGTGGAAGTGCCCCTCAGTCCCATGAATGCTTGAACAGGGACAGGTATATACAAATGATGACAGAGCCGAAGGGAATTATTGTTGAGTAAATTGATGATGCAGATTGGGTCCTCAAAAACCCTTTGATGAGTGGCAGTAGATAAATGTTGAAAGAGGAGCCTCACCAGAAATCTGCCTTCATGGTCATGTCATTGCATAGGTCAGTATGTGCATTCAAGCAGCAATTATCTGAAGTTTTTGCTTCTGAGGGAAGGAAGAAAGCTTGTGTCAGCTGCCAGAGCATACTTTTCTAAAACAAATGGTCATGTTTATCATTCTGAGATCCTTCGATTTTGTTTTGTTTGTGAGGTTTTCTTCCCTTTAGACTTGCAGAAGAACACCATACCATGCTTGCACTGCAGTGTCTGGTGATCCTTTGTTCACCATCCAATAGAAGTAACAGTTTCTCTGATAAGGGTAAGCTTTTGTTCAGTACCGAAAGAAAGGGTGACTGATGCAATGCTCCATCAGTTGCAAGTAATGAGTAGATGACGAGACAAAAAGATTCAATGGTTTTGCTTGACTTAACCTAACAATGGTCTTCCATAAAGCTGGACAAGCCCGGCACAAGCAAAGCATAAAGGCTTCTTCTCACATCGAAATGCATATTCTTTCATTGCATGAGAAGGGAAGGAAGGGGCAATCCTCACAGCCAGCCTTTTGCTTTTAAAAGAAGTTGAGGATGTGCCTCTTTTACCACTATCATGAGATGCTGCTTGTATGCTTTTGATGCATGTTTTCTTCCCTGACATTATTCTAGTTTACCTTTGGGACCAAACAGACTGGGGAAGAAGCTTCATGTCACCAAACAGCTACAGCAACTGATGAGATCTACATGACAATCTTGATCACGAAGAGGTGAAGAAGAATCATTATTTGATCAACTAATGTGACACATTATGTCCTTTTCTGTTGAGGATCCTTTAATTCCAGCAAAGAAGACACTGACAGATGCTCTTGTGTTCCTCCTATCAGAGAGAGGTTCACATGCTTCCCACATATTGCAATACCAGATGTGCCAGTAGCCAGGCCAAGCAACGCCTGGAGTAGGATGTGACATACACATTGGTGCTCCCATCAATCCACACTAGCTTTTGTATCAGGCTTTTCCACTGGGACATGATCACCTAAACTTTCTTCACTGTTTGTTATACATGAATTCTTGATGGAATTGTTGTGCAAATAAATTTAATTGTTTCCAACGCGTTCACAAAGAAATAGAAAATCAAATTATTTTCAATGATAAGTAGGGAATTCTTTCAGCATCTGCCCCAGCCATGTATGTCCTCTGATTCCATTAAGGTCACCACACCCTTCCATCGATCTGCTTCTTCTCAAGTGACCAGATGAAGTGAGAGAGCAATTGAAGTCGATGGCAAGATGATGGATGGATGGATGGTTTGGAGGAGAAAACAATGGACTACCCACCTCTTGATGCCCAAATTATTGTCACAAATGCAGCACTCATCACACCACTAGTGCCGAAGCAGGTTGTCCTTTTTATTCGATAGTTGGGGCGGCCTTATCAGACACCACACACTTAAGAGAAGTACATTGCGATTGAGAGGAACACAATCCCCACTCAGATATTATATACAGCAATGAGAACGTTCTGGACATCACATTACAGCCGCGTTGCCCTGTGTTGTGTTTGCACAGAGACTATATAGTTTATTCCCCCCACAAAAGAAATATATCGACAACATAATGCGAAGAGCATTCTTTTCCATCTTTATGATCTGCGCAAGAACACAGAAAATTTCACAGCACCCATCATTTATGTCAAACTTATAATTTCCAACAGAAACTACATTTGGTCTAATGATAACAAAATTTTCGATGGCAAACTTCGGCCACCACAACAGAACAAAGATGCATCGTTATAGCACGATAAGAACTGAATACCTAAAGGGAAAATCTAAATCGTGAAAGCCTTTTAAGTAAAAGAATTGAACTTGTACCATTACTTTGACCCAGGGAAATAGATGCAGTGATATAACATGGTGTATTCCATGGGAACAAACTGAAAGTATCTTATAAATTATTACAAACTGGCTTCAAACAAATTTTTGCACCACTGCCGGATGCAAGCTAAGCAAGCTCAACCTGGATCTCAATTAATAGAAACTATGAAACAATAGAATGACAGGAACAGGCTGCTGGTGCAGTAATATGGGTGTAGATGGCGCTTGGCGTAGGTTAGTAAGAAGACCATATGAGCGCGGGATCTTGAAAAGTCCCGTGCCTATTCAATCCCAAGCTATGTTACAAACAATAAGCTTCAAAGATACAAGAATTGGTTGAAGCAACACAACCCAGTCACACTGCCACAATGGTTTTTGCTTTCTTTCTTGCGCTCAAGCATCATCTAGATCCAGGATCATATGTAGATCGATTTCACGTCATTAGGCCCAAAACTCATGCCGCAAGTTCGGCACTTACGTTGACGGCTATCAATGGTTTTTTGAACACATTGATGACAGAACAAATGGAAACATTTCGTAATCACAACCTGAATACACAGGAGAAAATTGTGAAATATTTGAATAGTGTTCTGGTCAATCAGCATAGAAAGAAAAAAAAAAGAATCATCAGAAACAATCACAAGGACTTTATAAGCATAAGTGAAATGAAATGATAGTAGATTCTAGAGGACTATTACCTCCTTTTGTCGGTCATGGCAGATGCTGCACTTCAGTATCCCCCTATATTCTTTTACTTCTTGTCTAAGTTTCTGCAACACTGTGGAGCCTTTGGTTTGTTCCCTAAGAAAGGCAGCTTTCCTTGTCATGACTTCCATGCTCTCCTCAATTCTCTTCCTGTTAAACCTGCTTTTTTGGACAAAGATTCAGCAAGGCTCTAGTAGGATGAACTCGTAAACACTGGAAAATGCAGTAACCATGTAGCTAGGTACCTCTCCTTCCTTAATTCTATCAGCAAATCTGCAATATCCAGTCGGCTTTTCTCAACTTTAGTTAGCGCTCCATCAAGTGACTGCCTCAATTTGTAAGACTCAGTCTGCACCTCCAAGAATCTTTTCTTGGTATTATCAAAAGCAGTGGTGCTTTGCCATCCATCCTCAGCGAGTTTCCCAACTTGATCTGACCATACTTTTAACTGCAGCAAATATATAGTTTACCCAAGTTTTGGGCCAAGTCTTGCAGAAGAGATTGTAAAATGACGATTATGTACCTGCTCATCCATTTGGGCAACTTTCAGGTCATATGAATCCTTCAACAAATTTGCTTGATGCAATTTTTTGTCCATGGTTTGTATCTCCCAGCGGAGTGCTTCCTGCAATTGCCGGGCTTGCACGCCTTCCATAACAAGCTAGACCAAGATTTTCAAAGTCAAGTGGCATTCTGGGGTAATGGTTATGAGAGACAAAACATAACTGAAAATAAATTTATAGATAGCACACAGACCAAATCAATGAAAACAATTTCAAAAAGGAAATGCAAACAAAAAAGATTGAAGATAAAGCTCAAGCATCAGGAAGGGACAATTTGGCAGCAAGGCTCTGAAGCTTGATGCCATCAAATGATAGATAAATGTCAGGTTTATAAACGATTCATAAATTGTGTAGTTAAGCCCATAGAGAAAAAAAAGACCTCATGAAAATGAAGTCCCAATTTAACCAAAACACTTCATGTGAAGCAGCATGCTAGCAACTTTGAATGTTTACCTTAAATATTCAAAACAACGAAATTAATGGTGACAAAAAGGCTAGGCATAACATGTGCCACACCATTATTAATTTCTGCCCAAACAAATTTGTTGCTATCACAACCAAGGATATATCAAATCACATATCTCAATCAGAAAGAAGAGGCTAAGAAAGCCCCCCAAAATAGTCAAAGGAACTTGATAAGCATAAAAAGTATATTATCACCTTGGTGTTGTAATCATCTCTCTCTATGATTTGCTGCAAGAGATGTTGGTTTTGAG